ACACACACACACACACGTGTGAAAATAAAGACAGACGATCTGCCTTCGTTAACATGGAATGAGTTAAATTAATTAATGGGGCCCACTTTATAAATAATGTGTTTTAAAACTTTAGATTTTGGGTAAAATATCAAGTATTTTCAGTCCAATTCAATTCAATTCATTGGTCCAGGGCAAATCACAAGTCTCTAAACATTTTTAAGTCAAGTCTMAATTCACAAAATTAAYGACTCAAGTCTGACTTGAGTCCCCTGCTCTGTTCATTTCTAAATATGGTAGAGACATTTCTGTTTGTTAAAGTTATTTAGCTCATTTTGAGTTGCACTGACTCCAGCAGGTATTTAGTTGTAGATGTACGAGAGCTTAATTTAAATCTGTCTTTTGATTCATGAAACATTTTGTTAAAGGTACAGAYGAACACAGAGAAGCTGTTCCCTGCGTTTAGAGACAAGAATATTTCAGTTCTTCTCTACACTTTCAGACTGGGACCAGTTCTTTTCCAACACTAAACCTGTTTTCAAACCCCTACAATAAATCCCGTCCTGTTCACTCGGCCCTCCTTGAACGTGCTCAGCTCCTGTTGGGTCATGTGTGGTTCTGAAAGCGCAGCTTCTGTTTGGACTCGCCGCCCTCATATGAAAATATGGACGGACCTGCGCTCACTGAAATGGTCAGTCCTCTTTACTTCACGTGCGGAGGTCTCTCCGTGGCCTCGGCAACAACAGTGAGACTAATGCAGGTGGACTGCTCCATTATGAGGGGTCAACAAGGGTCACTGTGTAATTAAAGCCAGACGAGCAGAGTCCAGGCCGTGTGGGAAGGAGATGCTGTTGCAGAGGATGAAAAGTGACTGCAGGCCTCCAGCTGCAATCTGCAGCACTCACGTGAACATGGTTCAAACACGGACGTTGACTCAGGAGCAGAGATTATTTGAGCAAAGCAGAAAGGTTCAGAATGAACTCTGGAACCAGACGAGCCAACGTAAAATCACACTGACATCTAAAAGATGAGCAATCCTGACACCTGGTGGTCCGACAGTTCATTACAAAATGAGGTGTTTTTTTCTGATATTTTCAGGGTGAAAGGAGGAAAGCAGAGGAGGGAGCATCAGAGCCACACAGGAYGGAACAAGGAAGTTCCTGGAGTATCAGGAAGAAAGCTTTGTGGGGGTCCCGAGTTTACCTAACACCAATGGAGAAACTCCTAATCCATTCGATCAGGGAGGTCAAATTATTACATAATTATTATAATTATTATTGTATGCAGCAAGATTCTTAACCCGAATTTCAAAATTCTCACATCTCCCCGATCCTTTCAGAGCTTCACAGCTCCCTGTTCATTTCGAATCAAGTTCAAAATCCTGGTCCTCACTTTCAGAGCTCTCAATGGCCAGTCGCCTGACTACATTAAAGGGGAGTTATTATGCAAAATTCACTTTTTAAAGTTTTTTTTACTCAATTTTGGGTATGTACTTCTTAAAAAACCAGTCTTAGGACCAAAAAAATGCACCCAGGGGCATATTTACTGTAAGTAAATGTATTTTTAATGTATATTAACGACAAGTTTTATACTTCCGTCATTTTGTGATGTCACAAGCCGTACGACAACCCACCGGAACCTGAGAGACCAGGGTTTGAGACCGGCACAGACACAATTTAATTTTTATTTTTTGTCATTCGTTATGAACACGTTTTCTCATGTAGCTCTATTGTTTAG